GAAAATACATTAGAAATTATAAGGCCAATCCATGGAAGATGAGCTTAAAGAAATGCAATGAAGATACTCTAAAATAAGCCTCAAGTTTGTAGAAGCAGGAAAGAGGCATAGGGAAAGGGAGAGGGATCCAGTGAGAGATAGTCTAGGGGACTAATCGAGAGAGCCAGTGAGAGAGAGTAGGAAATGGATCGAGAGAGCTAGTAAGAGAGAGAGTTCAGGAAATGGATCGAGAGAGAATCAGAGGATTGATCGAGAGAGAATCAGAGAATAGGAGAGAGAATATAGAGATTGATTATGAGAGAGAGATAAAATTGATCATGAGAGATGGAATCAGAGAATTGATTGAGAGAGAATCTAGAAAGAGAGAGGGAGAGGAAGAGGGTGTGGGATCCAGTGAGAGAATCTAGAGAATGGATTGAGAGATAATCAGAGAATTGACCAAGACACAAAAAATAGATAGAGAGAGAGAGAGCAAGATTATGAGAGAGAATATAGAGATTAATCATGAGAGAGAGAGACAGAATTGATCAAGACAGAGAGAGACGGAGAGAGATTAGGAGAGATAATCTAGAGATTAATCATGATAGAGACAAAATTGTCACTCATTATTTAGATTATCCATTTACAATATTTTTAAGTGTTTATAAATTTGTTTGATCTGTAGGATTTTTGTTTTAAATTTCGTAGTTGGGGGTGGAAATTGATGTTCAAGCTATCGTAAGGGTTTCCAGCACCAGATTTTTGGGCAACGTTCGGAGGTGTGCCTTACACTATGTTCTATATTTTGGGTCATGACATGTTGCGGTCCTAAAGTTTTGGCTCTTTCATACTTCAATTTTGCCCTGGATTTGAAAGTACTACATCTGAAGCTAACCTTTTTTTCCTTCCAATTTTTATGTCATGTTAGTGAGTAAGGCCTGATGAAATTACAAGCATCGATTCGCCCTATAATTAAGGCTTTTTTAAAGTACTAATTTAGATCCAACTTCAATACCCCACAAGACCACACCCTTTGATGTGTTTGAAGCTGTTCGAAACTGCTATCTTGGAGCAATTAAAAACAGAGAAGTTTTCCAAGGGACAAGAGAGAACGAGTGGCAGAGAGGTTCTTGAGGGAGAGAGAAACATTGAGGGTTGAAAGGATACAGTGACGTCGTTTGGAAGGTAGCCAGTGTTTGAAAAAAGGAACAGGCGGTACCATTGTTTGAAAAAGCAGCCGATTCAGCTCGGACTCGGCCGAGTTACTCGGACTCGATAGTGGCTGACCCTGAGTTATTAAAAAAATTCAATAAAGTATAAAAAATCTCAAAAAATAATAAATTAATATGTTTTTTTATGTTTTCTATTATTTTGACAAAGATTGGAAAGTATTTTAGCCATGAATACTTATGTTTATATTTTCCTATCTTTTTCAAAAAAGCTTTGAAAACTGATTTTTCAATATCTTTTTTTTTTGGTTGTTCTTTACCACATCTAGATGTGATTTACTTTAAGTGTATTTTCCTCTCTCTTTTTTTAATTTTTATATTTTTTTTTATTTTTTTAACATTTTTTTGTGGCTATGGTACTCAACCCTACTGGGATCGAGTTAATTGCACTCGAATTGATTACTTGGGGCTAGGGTATGGGCCGAGTACTCAGCCCAATGGTGGTTTTTTGCACTAGGAGGTACATTTGAATTTTTAAACGACTTACTCAAAATTTCAAGAAAAATTGAAAAGACAAAAGAAGTATGAGCCGGTCTCAAAGTGTCGCCCTTGAATAAGCAAAGCAAAAAGACATTCCGCTCCGGCGGGACTAGAACGGTTGGGCTAGACCTCATTTATAATTAATTTTAGAAACTCAAATTTTGGGGATGTAACTTCTTCAACTTATAGATTAACCTTAGTAGAAAATTTTTCTAACAATTGAAAAAAAGAAAATTTATGTATGAACCGAGTTTTTATACTGTTATAATGGAATGGCTCGAAAATAGGCCATTCATGCCTAAAAAGACAGATTTCTGAATTTTTTAATTTTTTATCAAATTTGCCCCCCATCTCATTTTTTAAACATCGGACCACTTGGTAACCCGATACTTTTTATTTTTTGTCAAGTTGACCCCCAGACCGATTATCGAATCCTCGTACCTATTGGTAACATTTCAAAGCGGTCTGATGTTTTCAAAATCGGACTGCTAGAATGTTTTTCTTTTTTTTTTTTCGTTTTAAAGTTGATTGGTCTTTAAAGAGCATTGCGCGCAAAAATAAATTCTAACCCTCGTCTCGCCTAGCACTCTGTCTCTCTCTACTCTTGCTTTATCATCTCTCTCGCTCTTTATCTCTCTCCGCTGGCATCTCCTCTCAGTTCGCTCTCTCTTACTCTCTTATCTCTTTGAACTTTGCTTTTTCATTTGCCCTAACTTCTACAGTTTTCTACTAAGATTTCGTATTTGGATATCGCAAAGACATTGAAGTTGGGGGAAACAGATTTTTGAGGTACACAAAATGAATTTAAATTTCATGTCTCGATTTCTATAAATTTTGGAAAACTAGAGCTATAAGGGTTTCTATCTGTGTTTTCTTAATCTTTTTATTTAATACAAAATTTCTACATTTATCATTAGTAGAATGCATTAAGTATAAGTAATTACAATTTCATATCTTTCATGCTGAACCTTATATCTAGATGCCCATTTTATATTTTAGCAAATTGATTGAATCAATATCTCTATGTTTCATGTGCATTATGAGAATTAGGTGATACTAACATTTTCTATATTTAATTTTGCTTCTGGTATTTGGATGCACATTTTATGTTTTATAAAGACATTGAATTACTTGGATGCACATTTTATGTTTTATAAAGACATTGAATCAATGTCGTAATGTTTCTTAAGTTTATTGACATTTGGGTACTCTATGTATGGATTTGTTGAAAATTGTAATATTGTTCAGTGGCTCACTGGATTTATCTGCACTACTATGTTTACACCTTGTTGTATATTCAGGGTCTTGTAAAATGGGTGACATTCCTTTCAGCAATTAATTTTAATGAATAAATGTAAACGCAATTAATGTAGGTTTAGACTTAGTGTTTTGGCATTAAGGTGTCTTTGACTACGGCTATCTCCCAATAACTCTACAAAGTCATCATTTGAGCCATCACAATGACCACAAGTAGAGTGAGGTTGTTATGTCGATACAGTGGTTCCTTTCATAGAAGGCTAAATGATGAACGAATGTACTACAAAGGCAGGAATGTGAAGCTACCATGTATAATGGAAGTGACTCATTGGAGCAGTTAAAGATGCATATGGGGTGTATTGCGCGTTGTGACCCTAGCAATTTGAAAATTATGTGTCTCGAAAATCATATTTTAGTAGAAGTAAACAAAGATGCATAAGTGACATGTATGTTGTTGGTGGCTTCCAATGTTTATGTATGTGTTGCGAACCAACCATCCGAAGCAATACATAGGGAGCATCAACTAGATGTAGCGAGCGTAGCTCCATTATATGCTACATCGAGGATCAGGTAATACTTATAACATGTATGTTTATCATGTATTTCATTATTTATAGTTAATACTTATTGAATCATTTGGACTTCCCTTTTTAGCAGCCCCATTCAGCCAATGCTCGTCCCCATCGTCCAAAATGTAATTACATGCATGTGATGCAGACTCCGAGAGTGCGAGAAACATCCGACTTGATCCTGATGGTATGCATCTATAGAAATCTCCATATAGTTCAGTCTACTCCCATATTCATCTCTACATGGGACAAGAATTCGAGGATGTCAGGCTACTCCGTAATCGTTTAGTAGATTATTGCATATGTCAAAATTTGCTCATGAAGTATTTGAAGAACAACTGAAGATCATTTAGTTGCAATTTGTATTGGGGAGGGGTGCGAATGGAAAATGCAATACTCTAGAGTTTCCACCACAGTATTTTAAGGTGAGAGAGTTGGTAAATGACCACACTTGTAATGAGAAGGGTTCACCAGCCGTTGGCATTAAGCCAAAATTAAAACTCATCTGACCAATAAGATAACTATAAGACCCAAAGATATTATGAGTGATGTTCAAGGCGAACATGGTGAGATATTGTCATACATGCAAGCATGGAGGGGAAAAGAAGTTATCACAAAAATGACTCTGGGGTCGCATAAACAGTCACACATAGAGCCCCTATATATGGAGAAGCTACGAGTCACCAACCCCTAAAATGTAGGCTATAGAAACTCACCATATATTCCAGCATATGTTCTTGTACTTTCATCCTTGTCCCAATAGTTTTTTTTATGGTTGTCGGTCTCTCATTGGTTTGGATGGGATGTTTCTGAAGGGAACATACAAAGGGACTCTGTTGAGCGCTATTGGTGTAGATGCTGATGGTGGCATGTTCCCAATAGCATTCGTTGTAGTAGAGAATGAGGGCAAATATCCTTGGATATGGTTTCTTAATTGCCTGTAGAAGTTGCTCAATGCAATGAAGGACTTGCGTAATTTAACGTTCATACCAACAGAAAGGGCTATTACAAGCACTAGAACACATCTTCCCTGACTGGTATCCAGAGTTTTGCATGCATCATTTTACAGAGAACTTCCAGAGGTGATTTAAGAACACTACTTCAATGACAATCTTAGGAAGAGATGTCAAGAGTACAGGAAGCTGATCCTCAAGTGTATGAGTGGATAATAGCACAACCACATCAATGTTGGGTGAATGCCTCTTTTCCTGGGGCCAGATACAATCACATCACGTGCAACATTACTAAGAGTTTCAATGCTTGAATATTACCTTTTCGTGATAAGTTGATTATTGCATTGTGCGAGGGATTAGGTTGAAGCTAATAAATAATTTTACAGAGAGATTGATGGCGACATATACGTGGAGTGGAATTCTAGTGTTGTCTGCACAAAAAGACATAGACATGCAAATAAGAAAGTCGAATTTTCACACAACCTAATATGGGTGTCAGGAAGAAAGTACGTGGTGGTTGAGGATATGAGGTATGCCATAAATTTTGAACAGTGGACTTGTACATTCATTGTGTAAAAGATTAATGGTTCACCTTGCAGTCATGCAATTGTTACTATAGACCACTGTCACCTTCTAGTAGGTGCATTTTGCCAGTCTTTTTTCTCTATAGCTGCTTACAAGATGACTTATTCAGGTGTATTCCTACCAGTATGTAATGTCTTGACTCGATCGTATTTGGAAATTGAATCGGCACTCTACCTCCATGGGCTCAGGCAAGGTCGCCACCTCTACTGCCTCTACAAGCGCAAGCACGGGGACCTCGTCTGTTGCCTCCTTGTCCGCCTCCTCATATATTTCCTCATTTATCTCCTCCTCCTCCTCATCTACCTCCTCGACTGCATGCACCTCCTGGATGGATAGCTCTCAACATGCAGCTATTACGTGCTCTCGAATAAGGGGTTCCATATCATTTGAAGCTAGCACAAAAGTGAGGTATTGCAGCATGCGTTGTACCCTGTTAATCTACAAAGGAGACTAATATTATAAAAGATAAATGTCACATGCCATAAAAATTTAACCGTAAAATAAATCAAAAGGAGTAAACACCAGTTTATTACCATATGCTCAAGTTGTTGGGATATCTTCTCGGGATATATATTACTTCCTTTGGAAATGTAGGGCCCAAATCATCGGTCTAGACACCCTCTAGAACCATTGCATCTACTCTACGGAAGGCACCCCATCATCAGTGTCTGCTTCAACATCAACACCCCCAGCCCAATAATTTTATTGATCCTTCCATATTTGGATTTGTGTGGCTAGCTCCTGTACCCATCAAGCCACCAACCTACCATGCCACTCTCCTTGTTCCCAGCTCTTAGGATTATTTGGACTTTCTTACTTGTAGCCAAACTGACGAAGCACTCGCTCTGGTATATCAAAAATAAGAAATGAATTGCACATTCCGGAGGTGAAAGCATCATTAGATGCTTCCCAACCATCCTAATCCATTTGGCCCCTATTTAGTTCCATGATATATGGCTGCCACTAAACCTACAATTTTAAAATAATAAGCTTCATTTTATAAGTATAATGTGAAACCCACAAATAGTCATACAAATAATTAAATTTTTATGCTAGATTTATTCAATGAAATTAAAAATTGTGACAAAATACTTGTGGTTGTGCTAACCTTTTTAATATCAATGAGGTCGAGCTCTTGACTGTAGTAGGCAACATTGTGTGAAGGGCTTCTATTTTTAGTGGGATTTCTTTATCATTTCGCTCATGACTTGCCTACTCTAACCTTTCGGTCCTCACCATTAGGCAGCAGAGTAAAAAAAAACACTCAAATGTCCAACTCTACAAAATGAATTAATGACACAATATAATAAGTATATCTACCTAACAGGTTTTAGAAATGAAAATCACATAAATATATTGTGATACCGACGCACAACTATCCATGCACAATTACCTAAAAAATGTTGCCGACTCATTAAAGTGTCGATTCTTGGTGATAACAAACTTATGTAGAGAGTAGAATAAAAAAGGCACGTGCCGCAACACCCCATGCATATCGCCCCGCTCTGTCAAAATCGTCGAAGAGCTTAAGATACCTTGTGGGCACCTCGTTACCATTCAAGCCCGTAAATATTGTGCTCCCAACAAGATATACTAGAAAAGCCCTCGTGTGCCTCTCAAGCACATCATCAGTAGCATTTTTTGGCTACCATGAATTTGTCTTTCAACCAACTAAATTTGATAGTCACTAACTTATCAAAGAAACCTCCAGGAGCAGCTCCAAACCATCTATGCAAATACAAGTGATAGTGTTGATAATCCTATATATTGATGGGGTCCCTAATCACATTGAGCAGTAATATCTGCTAAACATCGTACAACATAGGCATCATCTCACCAATATGATCGTCAAAGTGTGTTGTATTGGTCTCGGGCCGCTATCTTTTCGCCATTGCAATGATTAGGCTATGGTCAACGATCCATGGGTGTTGATCTACAAGACGCAATAACCCTGCTCTAGCAACAAGGTCCTTTGTGCCGTTGTCAACACCCTAGACCATCTCCGGACATTATTCAATCTCTCATCACTATAAATATTTTTCCTCTTTTGTCAAGATTTCCAAAAGCCCTTGATAGTCATTTATGAAGATAGTGCTGATCAAGTAGGTAGGTATTTTTAAGATGTAAATTTAATTACCACTCCTTTACAAAATATTGTTGGACAAATACCGCCTTTGCAAGTATAGGAGCTCAGACTCAGCTCCTTCGTTTGTTACTGAATGCACCATAATATTTGTTTCAAACTATATAAAACTTCCTTTTTAGTATGCATATTTCATGAAGGAACTTATATTGCACTCAGATAATATGGAGAGCCATTCATATAGGTTAATTTAGCCAATTGTCATAATTTACCAATTGTCATAATATGGAGACCCATCCATATAAGACTTATATTGCAGATAATATGGAAACCCATCCATATGAGACTTATATTGCACTCAAATAATATGGAGACCCATCCATATAAGACTTATATTGCATTCAGATAATATGGAGACCCATCCATATGAGACTTATATTGCACTCAAATAATATGGAGACCCATTCATATAGGTTATTCCAGGTACTTGAATTGCATCCCTCTTACCCATACTACAGATCCATCACCATTAGAATAAACCAACTACATAAGACAAGTCATCATCATTTCTCCGCTATTATTAGCTTCATTGCCACTGGTTTTTACTTTGTATCTTTGTTTCGCCAATCGCCTAATTAAATTTCAAACAAAAACTTATATAAGAGAACAAGACTTACCATATGATTTTGGATATCCAACAATCAAAATTCATCGCTTTAAGGTGGGGCATATCATCAATGAGAAACACCAGCCACGAAACTACAACAAATACAAACCGCATACAAAGTTATAAATCACAACTATTTTTCCTTGAATGTTATATACAAATAGGACATATATATGTTTGAAGGACACAAGAATGGGTAGGGGCAAGGCTTCTAACCCTTAAAACCAACTACTTTCCCGTGCTTACCTCAACCCATCAAATTATCATTTTTATCATAAACCTCAAAGGAGATATGGACCAAATGGACTTAGAATACAATAAGTATATGAAAATATCTACCAATCAAACATTAGAAAGAACATGTGGAGATCACACTGTCACATAGTTGTTCTTTATGCCTACATTTACATATTCATACAATGGTAGTAGTGCCATAAGAAACCTATAACAATTTTATCAGGCCATTAACTCATAGAAACCTCAAATCACAATCCATGAAATTGGAGCAAACCCACTTGAACTTCATGTTCATTATATAAATAATTAACACTTTAATTAACAAAACTAAATGCAATGAAAAAAACAAAAAAAAGAATCAGGCAAACAAATCTTTTTTTTATCTTCAGATTTTTTTTTTTTTTTTGTGATATCAACCCATTCTATGGGATAGCAAAGGCAACTCACAACAAAATTAATAGGACAAACTAAACAAACAAAATAAAGTCATTGAAACCATATCCCATTCATTACTAATAATCAATAAAAATCGAAAGGTAAAGTGAATGAAACAATAAGAAAAAACCCTTCATTCAATATCCATTCGATTAAATATTCATTTCAGTTTACTCCCATCACTAAGAGTATGAAATCAAACAATTTCATTTGAAAACACCAAAACCCTAGTATCACAGCAACAAAAAACTGAAAAAACCACAAATGATAAAGGAAAAAAAAAAAATTTATGCCAAAACCGTCATAGATAGAGTGAGAAAGTGGGAAAAAATGGAGTCAACGCTTACTTGATTCAGAGGGTGGGAAATGCAATCCAATCAGAATTGAAGTAAAAAATTGGGGGTTTTAAGACTAAATATTGTTACGATGTTGGGATTTACAAATCAGAACTAAAATCGTCTTCTTCTTTGTGATGGAGATACATATGTCTTTGGCGATGGGGAGAGAGAGGCCAGGGGAGAGGGGGGAGTTACAGAGGCAAAGCAAGGTAGACGGAGAGAGATTTAGAGAGAGAGAAAAGGAAGGAAATTTATAGAAAATTGGGTGTTTTAAAGTCTAAAGATTGGTCTGATGGGCAAACTTGACAAAATATGAGAAATGTTGGGGCCAATCCAAAGTTAAAAAATAGGACTGGACCCCAACTTCGCAAAAAAAAGAAAAAAACATCGGGGTTACCAAGCTAATAAAAAACATCGGGGTTACCAAGCTAGCATAGGCTTGAAAATAAACAGGGATCCATCTTTCTAAGTAATAATGACTTATTTTTTAGCCTTTCCGGTATATACCCCGTCCAAATTGAATAGAAACTATCTAATTTTTAGACGCAAGTTCTAAGCGCTAAAAAACTCAAATTTCAAATCCTTTTGAATAATCATCAAGTGGTTTCTAAAATTTTAAATTAAAAAGAAATGAAAGTTAGTAGAAGTAAATTACGCTCCTTAGGGAGCATAGTATAGGTGTGTCCGTCAACAAATTAGGAGAAGAAACAAAGTTTGGGGCGGCTCTTCTGTTGCACCCAGTGCTCTCGTCCGGTTCGACTCGAGAATCGCAATGGACGGATCGAATTGGCGAAAAAACGGGAATCGTCCGGTT